TAAGTCCTTAGCACTTCAGCTTGCCGATCTTCCTCAACAAAAAGACCCGGACATTTCGCTAACAAAAGGCATAAAATGAGCCAGTCGTCCCGACCCCTCAACAGGTTCATTGTAACATGACCGACTCACAACAATTAACACTTGTTCTCTCAATCAAAACAAAACAACAAAATAGAAACAATTGCTCAAGTTCAAGATGTGTCTTCTCAACAAAGGACGAGCCCCCTCGAGTTAGTAGTTCACAAGTCTATGATAGAGCTAATTTATCCAGAAGATTCAAATTTAGATTGCACAGCACAAGAAAAGTAATTATGGTTTAAAAATCTCTCTTTATTCATTTATAAGGAATATCTACAAGGTACGTATGTACATATATACAACACAAAAGCGAGAGATAGGAAAGTCCTAGGAGACTAAGAGAGGTCGTCCATTCCCGCTCCTGGAGTCATAGGCAAGGAGCCGCTGGGAGCAACCAACAGAGGAGTCGAGTAGTCTCCTCCTTCGTCCGACTCCCCATCTTCCTCACCAAGATCGAGTCCCCCTCCAAGTGCTTCCACCTTCATCAACTCATCTTGACACTTGGCTATAATGGGAGGATAATAGAAGTGATCGGGCGTGTTCCTCATCTTAACTGGAAGCTGCACCGAGAGGTAGTTGTACCCGGCCTTGCAGTCTATCGCCACCTCTGCTTTTCCAGTTAGACCTTGGTGATACCACTTAATGATCTCCTTGTGATAAGGCTCCGACTCGAGGTAGGCATTGTGGCTTTGGGCTACTACCAAGGACTCCTGTAGGCGGGTGACCTCCCCCTAAAGCTTGACGAGCGCTGCAAGCTCCTCATCCATCTGACGCTTCGCATGCATCTACCTCCTTCTCGGCTTCGACCTACACCATAGTATGGTCCCTCTCCTGGAGAGCCTCATCCAATCTCCTAGCCTCCCTATTACTCTCATCCAACTCTCGCCTAAGCATGTCGATCTCGGAAGCTCTTGGTTCTGACATCTTCGCAGCCTGTTCGTCGACCCCTCTGTCGGCCCTCAGGGAAGCAACCTCCCCTAAAATCTTGAGATATGAAGTCCGGTTCTGCTCTATATCGTTGTATATCTCTTGCTCAACCAAAGCGCCTCGAACCAAGTAGCTCTAAAGACTTAGGTGGAAACCGGCATTGGGAACCCCTTGTAAGAACTCCTCATCCCGAGGGAGCCAGAACTGCTCGACCGCCCTCAACTGAGTCAGGCGAGAATAAAGGACCGTCCCCCTAACATCAAGATGTTGAGCAGGTTGGTAGCGGTGCTCTAGGTCAGGCTTCGTTCCATATCAAGGGCCAACCCTCAAAGTCCCAATGAGGTATTGCCTCATCCTTTCCCACTCTTCCTCCCCGATCTCAGCAACATAGTGGGGGTAGGGATACTCCCAGCCTATGGACGTGTCGTTTCGTTCCTCAACCGGCTTCTTTTCCCTCGCGAGGTTCGACTCGCTTAGAGTGGCTGCGGATGGACCCCCTCTTCACCACGGAATAAGGGCCCTGGGCCTCACCGGCTCCAACCTCTTTCCATGGGGGAGCCTCGGCGACTCATCCACATGGACGACATCCGTCTCGACCACCTTAGCCGTCGCCCGAGATAATCGCTCCTCATCCCTCCACAGCCTCCTCCTTTGCCTATGGAAGAGGGCAGTAGAAGGATCCTCCTTGGTCATCTCAGCATCCATAGGGGGTAAGTCGAGGCGGAGATGCTTTTCAAGCCTTGCAGATGGTCATTCCTAGGAGTCAACCAGAGGAGCGGATGACGCCATCACTACTTTCGCCATTCATGAAATCAAGGCTGAAGCCCTCTCCTGGTCCTTTACGGTGGGAGGCACGATAGATACATGAGCAGCCCGCAAGACCGAGTTGTCAAACATGTGCTTGAACCGGCGAGAGCTAGCATACACCTTGATTTGATCCAACGCATCTCTCTCGGCATCAAGCAGGTCGCCGGTCATTAGCGCCTCCCTCCTTATTTTGGGCTAATTCGAGCAGCACAGCTCCAAGTCTTCCCCCATGACCCGTTCAATTTTTTCCTTCCAATCCCTGTTCGAATCAAGGAGGCCTATGATGAGTTTATACTTCTCCACCATTTGGAAATGGAAGTGGGGTTCAGTCTGGTTCACTTTCACAGTCACCAAACGGCCCAAGACTCGCAAGGATGGCTTTATTACTAACCAATGGCAAATCACCTGAACCCCACCAAAGTTGCAATAGCATTTGGTTTTATTTGAGCTGGTGATACCCCTAGCACCGTGAAAACTTACTGGAGGAAGGGGTGTAGGGACAACCGCAGGCCAAATTCCAAATGCCTCAAATAGAGTAGACCCCGATCTAACCCATGATCATATACGGCCTCCGACCTCGTCGGGGCCATCAGCTCATACTCCTGGGGGATATCAAACCTCCCATGGAGCATCCTCTTCTGCACTTGGGTCGCCTTGGAGTATATCTCCGCCATAAGAGTTCATCGCTCTACAGGATCTGATGCTATCATAAAAGGAGAAATGATCACTAGAAAGAGATGAGCATGAAAATTTTTGAGTTCTCTAAAAGGAATTTCAAAAGACAATAACTGCCAAATCTATGGCCACGTTTCTATATATAGGCAGCCGAATCTGCAGCTGTCGAAATTTGAACAGTCGGATCAAGCTTTGTCCAACAACAAAAAATAATTATTAGAATCCAAAGAGGCATCTCAAGGATCGAGGCGTAGCCTACTAACCTCGAATAACCTACAATCTGCCACGAAAAGTAGAACTGTTGCAGTCAAAAAGACTGTGTGATGACGTCAGGCACGTAAAATCTGAAATGACTTTTCAGTTCCCTCATTTAAATGCACACCCACGTCCGTCCAAAGCAACTCTCATTTCACTCGGATCCAGCCCAACCCGACTGCAAGAGAAAGGGGCCAACTGTTATGGCGTTCTCATTTGTCAAAGTACGACCCTTTGCCAGCAACGGACAGATGCCCCCTTACATGCACCGCTCAAACCAGATTGACGGTCAAAACCAACAAGGATCCCAACTTAGACGACTCGCTGAGTCGACATCTTCTTGGATCGACTCGAAGGGCGGTACTTATCGGCCCTCTTGTCGAAGACGGCTTGCTTCGAGCCCACTCGACCAGTTATTCGACCCCTCACGAGGTCGACTCGAAATGCGCTACTTCTCGACCAAGCCACAAGACGACTTCAACCTCGAAGCTCTCCCAGTGACAACGTATCAGGATCACATTTAATGCTTGGCAGGCGCCATCATACCTCTAGTCCCGGTAGCCTTCATGACTCATCGGACCACATCGGCACCATCATGCCTCTGATCACTTCGTTTTAAATTCTAAGGTGATCTCTTCTCCACTCTCCGACAGGCACGTGTAAAGTAGGTGCTGATGTAGCCGCCATCCCATACTTATTTACCGTCATTATGTGCTCGGCCGAAATAACGGTTCTATCCTTTTTCTACCAGTATAAAAAGATGTACTATTCCCAATACCGGGGTAAGCTATCTAAGCGATTCTAAGCTATTTTTGATGCTATCTTGAGCAATTCCACTACACTAAAGAACTCACACAGTTTGTCATTTTCTCACTCAAGTTCATCAACTTACTTGATCGTCGGAGGAACCACGAGGGAACTAAGTCCCGTCCTCTCACGAATTGTTATTTGTGCAGGTTGAAAGCTACTCAACTCAAAACTAGATATTCGGAGAAGCGAGCGACCCCTAATCAATATCACCTCCATCATATAATTACATGTTTGATTATTAACATCAACAATTAGAAATATATATGTAAGTATACATTAATGATTATATATATATATATTATATATATATATATATATATAGAGAGAGAGTGTGTGTGTCTAGGTTGACAGCCTGGTTGTAGTCAAAGCTAATAGTAATATTTGTCAATAATCAAACTAGACCAATACGTACTAATTATCACTTGAGTTAGAATGTGTTTGGCAATCACCCAACAATTGGGCAAGGTCCAATCTTAGTCAAGTTCTATCCTAAATCAGTTTAGAATTAGACCTGAGGGGTGGCAGTTTAATACTAAGTTGGTTTTGTAGACTCTTTTTAGCTTAAGAAAAACTGGGTTAGAACTAGAATAGATCTGACACAATTTTTGTTAATAAAAATTTAAAACTAGGTCAGGTTTAGTTTTAACCTAATTTTAAGAGGTTGCCGAACAAATCCAAATAGTGCCGCATCATTTTGTATTGAGCGCCGCTCAGATATAGTAATTGTTTTCGTCCTACGACCCAAGACTCTTATCCAATCGATCGAAGGCCGAGAGCTTAAGGGCATCTCCAACAGCTTCTCCAAAATTTTCTCCAAAATGGGGAAGCAAAAGTCATATTCTCCAACTAATTTTTACACCAACTCCAACAGCTTCCCCATTTTGAAGAATCCTTTTTTTCCTCCAAAAATTTGACACCAACTCCAACAGCTTCCCCATTTTGAAGAATCCTTTTTTTCCTCCAAAAATTTGGAGAATGCTGCAAATTTGGAGAAGCTTCCCCATTTTTTCTCCTCCATCCCTATTTTGGGAAATGAGATGGAAAATCTGTTGGACCAAAAACCTAACTAAATTCTTCAAAAATAGAAAATGGGGAAGCTGTTGGAGATGCTCTAAGCCAAGGGGATCCCGTACGAGCCCTTGCACGAACAAACTCAACCCAACGTGAAATGCCCTCTCTCTTTTGCGCTGGGGGACCCACACTCCTCATCCATCGATCTCCACATGCGTCATTGCATCCGCTACGTGTCACCTCTCAGTCAACCCCAGCTAATGGGAAAGTGATCCCGACGTTGAAAGAGCTTCTGGGGTTTTTAACCACATCAATTTTAACATGGGTCTGTGGATTAAAACCCTAACAAAAATAGCCACGTAACACCCTTACGATATACAAAGGACGGCACCGAATCCGTTTGACTTTCTCCTATATAACACCTCTCTCTCCCCCTTCTTCTATTTAATCATCGACCGCTCTCTTCCCTCCTACTCAAATTAACTCCGTCTCCATTTCTTCTTCATTAGTTGTTGGGGCCCAAAACACTCTTCAAGTCTCAAGCTCTTTGCTCTGGATTAATAGCTTAATTATTTTGGTTTAAGATAGCTCGATATGGGTCGAACACCGTGTTGTGATAAAAATGGACTTAAAAAAGGTCCGTGGACGCCTGAGGAAGATCAGAAGCTGATTAATTATATACAGAAACACGGCCACGGGAGCTGGCGTACTCTTCCTAAGAATGCTGGTGAGGGTTATTTTATTTAAGTTTTGTTTTGGATTAATTTAAGTTTGATTGTTAGTTTTTAATTAGTAGGTTTACTGAAGCTTTGGTTTTAATTTGCAATAGGACTTGCGAGATGTGGAAAGAGCTGTAGGCTTCGATGGACGAATTATTTGAGGCCTGATATTAAGAGAGGAAGGTTCTCGTTTGAGGAGGAGGAGACAATAATTCAGTTGCATAGTATTTTGGGGAACAAGTAAGTTTTTTCATTTTTTAAAGTTGATTTCAGTCGCTGTATAGTTCAATAATATACTAGATAATTATTCTTTAAATCACTGTAACCATGACTCTTTGCAAATGTTCTCAATGATTGATTCTTTAGAAAATGACCTCAATTATCTTATTTTGAAAAGATAAGATTCTCCAAATTGTTTCCTTGCATAAGTAGGGATATTGAAAAAATCGCACGTTTGGCTTTCGATTAATGGTTAAAGATGGAAATGTAAATTGTTTATAGTTTTAAGACACGTTTATTTTAATGTAAATAGAATTTTAATTCCACTCATAAAATTTCATTCTTCCTGGATATCAGATGGTCTGCAATTGCGGCTCGCTTGCCAGGAAGGACGGATAACGAGATCAAGAACTACTGGAACACACACATTAGAAAAAGGCTTCTTCGCATGGGAATCGACCCAGTGACCCACAGCCCTCGCCTCGATCTCCTCGACCTCTCTACACTCCTGAGTAACCCAAACTTGTTTAATGCATCTCAATTCATAGACATCTCTAGGTTGCTTGGTGTGGAGACTCCAATGAACTCAGATCTCTTGAGATTTGCTACAAATTCCCTATCTTCTCAGGGCGAAGACGCCATAAACAGTTCGCAAATTCAGGATCCTTTCCAATCTTTTCAAACCCATCAAATCCAAGAAGTTCCACCTTGTACGACATCTAGTGCCCATTTCTTCAGTGACTCGAACCTAATGCAGCCAAATGAGCAAGCGTATAACTTATGGCAGGCCAATGGCATGCCATGTAATTTCTCGGAAAATCTTGTACATGCTACAAGTGGTGTTGGGTATGATAATTTGGAGCAATCAGTTCCACAGTTTTTATCAGACAACTCAAATTTCCACTTGTCCAGCAACCAGAACTATACAACGGTTACTTCAGTTCTATCGACGCCTGCAGGTTCAAGCCCTACAACGCAGTTGAACTCGTCGTCCACTTACATCAATAGTAGCACTGAGGATGAACGAGACAGCTATTGCAGTGAGCTTTTCAAGTTCCAGATTCCTGACTTACTGGATGTAAGTGAGTTCATGTAAATTGCTAGAGAAAGAGGATGAGAGAGAGAGATAGAGAGAGAGAGAGAGAGTGTTATTAGTTAGAGAAGAGTGAAGAAAACTTTGGCTGTTGCTGTAAATGTGAATGCATCGTGCAGAGAGAGAGGATACTCTAATGTTTGAACAGTTGAGCTCATAGAGATATAATCTGCCCTTTTCTTCTACAGTCCTCTTGTTCATTTGTTTTGCTATAGCTGAAAGGGAAATCACAACTTTTTTCAAACATTTTTTTCAAGAGATAATAACATAATAAATTAGTCAATTTTAATCCAAACAGGAAATCAGGATAAGGGTTCGTACAAGGGAGCAGAGATCATCACATGGTCATAAACGAGAACCTTTTCTTAAGAATAAATGGTAGAGCGTAACTTGCCCCCCACCCCCAGTCCCCCACCGAGAGATAAAGGTAAAGGTCAAAGTAACAAGATCTACTTAACCCAACCCAAAATAAGCAAAATAAAACCAGCCTTAATTAGGCATGCGATATGTACATACGAAGCATGCAAAAGCAATGAACTCCTCTAAAAGGTGATATATAGACCTACCTATATTTTTAAATTGTATACTAATTAATGACAACGTAGATCAAAATTTTAAAGCTAACAGCAAGATTTATAAGTTATAATTTGATACTCCAACATGCACTTTCCTCCGGATTGAGCTTACTTCTCATAGTTCAAAGTATTAGAGTAATATGTACAAATTCTTAATTCAGCCTACTCCATTGGTGAATTGGCATGATACAGTTTGGGATGGTCTCCTATATCCTTCTTTCACTCTATGGCTAGTTTGTCATTCAAGACTCTTAACTAAGGATAGACTTTGCCGAATGGGGTTGCTAAAATCAGATCAGAGCAATTGTGTGCTATGTCAATGGAATAGAAGGGAAATAATAAATCACATTTTCTTTGAATGTCAGTTTTCGACTGAAGTATGGAACATGATAATGGAATGGTTAAGGTTTAAATGGAAATCTTGCAATTGGAACCAGCTCCTAAACTGGTATTCTTGTAACCTTAGGGGAAAGGGTACCATGAAAAAACTGAAGAGAATGGTATTGTCAATGGCAGTTTATACAGTCTGGCAGGAGAGAAATCTCCGGATCTTTCAAGGCAAGAAGAGGAAGGTCAAGCAGATTGTTCATATCATCAAATGTTTAGTGTACACAAAAGTTTTGAATGAGAGCTCATTTGTTCATATAAGAGAGCTCCTTGAGAAAATGTAATTTTTCTGATTTTTGATTACCAGTCATTCTGGTAGCTTGATGTTCTCTTAACTGTACATTTTGGATATGAATAAAATTTAGTTCATTTACCAAAAAAAAGTATTAGAGTAATCAAATATACAATGAGGCAGCGATATCGTTTTATCGATCTATTTTAAATATGTAACCAGTGTACATTAATTAATTACTCTTATATTCTTTTAAATATTCCTCTCGCTATACCACACCTAATAATAATGATTAAAATTGAATATTATAAATTTCCTTTCTCTGACAATTCTAAGTTGCGACTTATTACCATGCATAATCGATAATAGGCTCGGTTAAAGAAAAACTTCCAAATTTAAGATCTAGATTTTTGCAGAATCTATTCCTCTATAATAATGAGAGGATCCAAGATTTACTATTTGTGCTACAGTAAATACTACAGTAAATTGTTGTTGCGTTGTTGCCGTAGCACAGACAGAAGGATCCAAGATTCACTATTCATGATAAATTACAGTAACATTATTATTGTAACACAGGCGGAAACTGTAGCGTCTAAAAATTACTGTAGATTTATTACTATAGCTAAAATGGGATATTGTAACATTTAAAAATGCTACTGTATAGTATTTACAAAAAGTATATTAAATATAAAATTAATGTAGTGAAAATAAAAAAATAAGACTGTGTTTTGCGCGGGTGCACACTAGTTACTTTTTAAACCCAAGTGGGTAGTTTTTACTCCTGGTGCTCAGCTCATGCATGATGCCAAAATGCTGCCTGCGGCCGCAATAAATAAACACACCCTTCTGAGCTCGAAACATCTACTTCGGCTCACAGGAAAAGCGCACCCATCTTTTGCCCCCATCTCAGCCGTCCATTTTTTTAAAATCTCCTCTCAACGGGACAAGTAGTGGGCCAGGTGGACGGCTGGCATCTGTAACACGTGCTGCTGATTGCGAACTGCGAGTTCCTCCGTGGAGTTTACGAACAGGTGTCAGCCTCGAGGCACACGGACACGGGCGGAAGCGACCAGTATCTGCGCGTGACGTTTTGTTTCCCAGCTTCGTTTGATCTCGTCATCGATTGGCTGCAGTCAAACCCCATCATGATGAGCTGGATAGCTGACGCGTGGAACCAATAATTGAGCAACTCATGAGTATTAGAAGGAGTGCAACTAGTTTACCGGTCATAGAAGGTTGCACTTCATCATGGGTAACCTTTGTGGATGGAGATACTTTTCACACCAAAAGTAACAGAAATTATTGATTGAGAACAATGGACTGTTTGGTTTAATTTCTTTAAAAAAAGGAAAAAAAGAAAATTACTTAAAATTTAATTTTTGGTATTTTTATTAAATTTATAGGAAAAATTTATACAACTCAAAAGAGTACAATATTTCTTATTTTTTGTTATTTCTTTTTTTGGTTCAAAGTATGGAAAATTTTCTAACTTTATAAAAAGAAAAAATTGTTTCAATGCCTCAAATTTTAACTTCCATTGTGCCTCAACCCCTCCAACTTTCACCAATGTGTTGTAGCCTCTGTTTTTTGAAAAATTTGTGTTCAGGCCCCTCCAGCTCACTTCCCCCAAGTTCCAATGCATTCCAGCTCATGTCAGCTAATGATTTGACGTAGGTCCACCTAAAATCTCAATTTTACCTTTTCTCTTTCTCATGCTAGCTCATGTCAGTTCATGTTAACTATTATAGATAACATGTTAACAATTATAAAAAACATGTTAACTATTATAGGTAACACGTTAACTATTATAGGTAACATGTTATCTATAATAGTCAACATGTTATCTATAATATTTATGTAGGTGGCCAAGACGATCTCTTTGTGGTCGTGACACCTCCTTCTCCTCCCCATTGGCACGTGGGTTGCGTCCAGCATCTCCGCCAAGCCCCATGACCGCCGCCGCCTACGTGAAGTTCCTCGGCGTTTGAAATTACCTCGTTTGCTCTTCACTCGCCCTCTTCTTCTTCTTTTTCACTTTGTATGGAGCGGGGGAGGGAGGCGGCGACACTTGAGAAGGCACCAACAGCGGAGCGGGGGAAGGAGGCAAAACGGGGGAGGGAGGCGGAGGCGCTTGGGAAGG